CGAGAAAATCATTCATCCAAAATTGTTTCAGCATTTTTTCCAATGATAAAGACTTGTCGTGCGGAAAAATGTTAATCAAACATTTTGGAATTGATTCTCCCAGGGAAAAATATTTGAATGTCATAATTATTTTGTTTAGTTGCGGCCGAATTTTAACATTATTGCCTTGGAGAAAAAGAATAAATAATGTTGTTTTCCTTTGTCGTTGTAGTGATGGCTGATAGTTAGTTGTGATAAATTTAAATTTATCGATACTAATGCTCAATGTTGGAAAGTGCTCCGAAACTTGTTTAACAAGAGTATTTACTCTTGAGTTTGAATTCATCAAATGGTCGTCATAGATAAACCTTACCTGATAGAATTATAATAATTAAAATAACACTGCTAAGTTAGATTATTGAATTTTCTTTGTTTTAGTATTTTCTTTCTAATAGATGTACATTTATTTTGTGGGTTATTTTATGAATACTTTGCTTCCTCATAGAGGTTATAATTTTTTTTTAGGCTGCATCTATTTCGCCCGCCGAAATAAATGTGTTTTACTTTTAGAAGACGGTCGAAATAAGAAAAATAGATTATTTCGCCCGTTAGGTGATACAACAAAAACGAACGAAATAATTAAAGTACAATATTTCGCCCATCAGGTATAAACAGCTGTTGGATATTTGTTATTAAAAATTAATTTGAAGTTTTGAAAAATAATTATTATATTGAATAACAACTTGATTTAAAAAAGGTTATAAAAAATTATAAGGTTTGTTAATATAACGTGTTGTTAATTTTCGCATTTGAATTAATAACAATCAAATACGAAAAAATAGATTCAATTGAAAATTAGCACATACATAATAATTAGGTTGAATAAATTTTAGACGAAATATTCCGTAGCTTATAAAAATATTTTATTACTTAAATTTTGAAAAAAATTGATTATTTTATGCTACTAGTAAGTAAAAAAAAAAAGATTACATAATTATTTTCATAAAATAATTATAAAAATGAAAAAAAAACTTAAATTTTTATTGGTTTAAATTTTACTGTTAATACTTTTAAAATTCAACTTCTTCGACAATTTATATTATTTTTCATGGGCAATTTTTTTACATACTTTCTTTTATGATTATTAACAATCAATTGTAAGTATATAATTTTCTGGTTTTAAAAATTTTTAATTAAAAAAAAAAAATTCTAAAATTGACAAAAATATTTTTTTTCAAATTTCAATAATTAAGAATAATTTTTAAACCCTAAATAATGCCAGAAAAAAAATTAAATAGACTACATAAATTTTGAAATTTTACTAGTCCCTTCCCTTGAAATAAATTTAGAAATCGACTGTTTCTGACATTTTTTGTAATGTAAAACGATTAAAACTTTTTTTTCCCTTAAAGTTGATTCGAGATGTGAGTGTATTAAAGAAATTTTATAAAAATAATTATGTAATTTTTTTTAATTGACTTGAATCATAAAATAATCAATTTTTTCAGAATTTTAAATAATAAAATATTTTTATAAGCTATTGGCTAAAATGTATTTAACCTAATTATTATATTATATGTACGCTAATTTTTAATTGTACAATTTATAATTGAATATAGTTTTTTCGTATCTGATTTTATTTATTCAAATAAAAATATTAAATACATGCAAAAAGATTTATTTTATTCAAATAATCAGTCACTTGACTATTATCAAATAAATATTTATTTATATTAAATAATTATTATTTGAGTCACTTAAATGGTATTTTTTTCAAATACATAAATTATTATTGATTATTTGAAACAAATAAATTTTTTTCAGTGCATGTAAATTTAACAACACATATTATTAAAAAACCAATAATTTTATAACCTTTTTTAAATCAAGTTTTTATTTAATATAATAATTATTTTTCAAAACTTCAAATTAATTGTAAAAATAATTTTTAATAACAAATATCAAACAGCTGTTTATACATGTTGGGCGAAATATTGTACTTTAATTATTTCGTTCGTTTTTGTTTTATCACCTGACGGGCGAAATAATATACTCGCCCGTCTTGCAAATACTTGATTTTTTTGGACGGGTGAAATAATCTATTTTTCTTATTTCGACCGTCTTCTAAAACACATTTATTTCGACGGGCGAAATAGCCACTTCACACAATCGTATCTATTTCGCCCGTCGCGGGCGAAATAAGAGAAATGAATTAATTCGCCCGCGACGGACGAAATAGCCACTCCGTTTTTTTTATTAGAATTTAAAATCTCTAATAATTTTAATGATTTTATGTTCAAGAAAAAATATTTTATAAAAGCATTCAAAACTCTCTTATTTTTTTTTACTTGGATCTGGATTAAACAATATTTACAAATAATATAAAATAATTTGTCGAGGATTATTTCTTTAAAATTCAGGATTGCCACGGACCTGGAAAACCTGGAATTGTCATGGAATTTTTTTTTAGTCATAGAAAACCTGTAATTGTCAGGGAATTTTATAAAATCTCGTCCTAAAAATTTAATTTCCACAGTATGTGAATCAAAAAATCTCAAGTTGTGATTTTAACTTTTCGGTTTTAAATAAATATTTTGTATCGAGCATGAATATGAAATTATTAGTGTCAGTTGGGGTAAATATAGAAACAGATTTGCTAAAGTTCACCAATAATATAAATTTTTTTCTTTTAAATCGCTATACTTTCGGTTTTTTTTTTGTGTTATTGAGTTATTATTTAACTTCCGTGGAACAATTTTATGGGATAGTAGAAAATATGGTTATCATTAATTCGCAATAATCAACTGTTTCTAATTATCTCTAAATTTTTCAACTTTTTTCTTTAGGGGTAAATATGAAACAGTCATTATTTCTTAGAAAATTTAAGAAAAAATTAATTTGAAGTATCCAAATGTTAAAAAATACAAAGAATTACGTAAAAAAATGATGTTAGTTATAAAATAATTCAAACTAATAAATAATAATGCATTACATAAGTTTAAAAATAAACCATGTTAAATACTATGTACTGATGAGAATATAGATGAATACTATTTTCAATGCATTCTTATAATGCTGAAAATAATGTTGAAATTGATAAAAACAATTTTCTCTTTCTCTAATATAAGAAATATTGTTGAAATTTCTGTTTCTATTTACCCCGAATTTCCAGTTTTTAGGAAAGAAAGGACTGGTCGGTTGAATCAAATAATAGTTAATATTTTGATACTAGGAATTCATTATGGTCAATGTTCAGAAATTTGTGGGATTGCTCATAGATTTATACCTATTGTAATGGAGTCAACAACAATTAGAAATTTTTTAAACTTTATTGATACAGTTCAAAATATAATTAAGTAACTTAAGAAAAGTGAAAGAGTTTTAATCTTTTTATAGTATAAAATTACTCTTAATTGATTCCCCAAATAAAGCCTATTTATTGACTAAATATATTATTTTATATAATTTTTGTGGTAGCTATTTATTTAATTATAGTAAGATATATAACTTTAATTTATTTAAAAAAAAAAATAATAAAAAGTTTAGTAATAAATTTGACAAACGGAAAATGGGAGAATATTTAGAACCTATTGGGGATGATCTAAGGTTGAAGGTTTAAGGTTGTATTTATTTTTAAAATTTGTTATTTAACTGAAATAACTACTATTTCGATTTACCCCTTGTTTCTATTTACCCCAACTGACCCTAATAAATTATTTTATTAATAATTTAATTAAAGGATTTTGTATTTTTTGTCATAATTGGCTAAAAATTAATTTTGTTAAAATTTATATTTGGGTCTGGAATTTTTTAAAAAATGGTCTGGAAAACCTTGAAAAGTCATGGAATTTTGAAATCAGTGTTCTGTGGCAATCCTGAAATTTTTTGAGATTTTATTGAACTTTTAAACAGTAGTTCTATATAAATTTTTTTTTTTATTTACCACTTTTTAAAACGCCATAATAAAAGCATTCTATTTTAAAAATTTATTTTTTGTTATTTTTTAATTTTAATTTTTTTGATTTATTATTAAAGGTTTGTAAAAAAATTCCGGATGATTATTAAACAAAATTTCTTGTTAATTCTAAATTACCTGATACAATTTGGAATCTTTCTTCAGATAGTTTATTAATCCTCTCAGGTTACCATTGTTGTGTGCGACTGACAAAATGACAGTTTCAATGATTATTAAACACAAACTGTATATTGCAAACTTCATCAGGAATGTTATATTAAAATTTTGACATTCCACGTCATTACTTGAAGTAAAATGTACCTTCGTCGGAGGACAAGTTTTCTCTGTTGTAAAAAAGTTTGAAAAATGGAAATTCACGGAACTTTCTATTCCTGTATTCTTGTCATAATTTTTCACATTTTACAAAAGATACCATCTTTTTAAAGGTGAAAATGAGTCTTAAACACCGTACAAAGTAGCATATAGGGTATCAATTCTGAAATCGATTCATGCTTGTAAGTTTCTTGTGGCCTTGAAAATTTGAAAATCAAAGTCATGCAATGTTTATAATGTATATATTTTTTTTGTTTTTAATTTTTTAACTTTTGAAAAATTAAACAAGATGATTTGTTAATAAATTTTTATATTTTTTTTTTTTGAGAATAATATGTAAAAAATTTCCTTTCTTTCCAATCTTTGAATTTACTTAATGTTAAATTCTTTAGTGCCAATAATGGTTTTCCTATGACTGTATTCTTTGGTTTGAATAAAAAAAATACTATTGAATTCCATTTTAAATTTATTGACAAAAACCAATAATGAAGAAATTTTTTTCAACTGAATTAAAAAATTTTTTAAATATCAAAATAAATATGACTCTGACATAGGTTTCAAGAGAATTAAATTCTGATTTGATATTCTATGTTTATAAATTTCTAAACTATTTTTTTCCCTTTTTATACATTGACATTTTTCTATAATCAACTTTAAAACAAAAAGTTAATTAATAGGAATTTAATTTTTTGGTTTTACTAAAATTGTTTAATATGTATAATAAAAATTTTAGGAATACATTCATCGTGTGGGAAGAACAGCTCGCGGAGAAGGCAGTAGCGGTCATGCCTTATTGATATTGCGACCTGAGGAACTTGGTTTTTTGCGTTATCTCAGCCAGGCACGAGTTCCTGTAAATGAATTTGAATTCTCATGGAATAAAGTGAAAAATATTCAACTCCAGGTGAGTCAAATTTATATATATATATATTTTTTTTAGACGCGTGAATAAGCTCTAAAATTAATTTTTTTTAATTTTTATTTGACAAAAAATTACCTAGAATTTACTTCTAGAGTCGAATTTTTATTTCTTCGAATTATTATTTAACAGAAATTTTTATTTAATGTAATTTCTGGGGTAATTTCCCATAAAAGTCATATTAATTAGAATTTTCATTTTAAAGAATTTTATTAGAAATATAATTATTTTTTAAAAAAAGAATTTTCACTTTTCGAATTAGCATTTTTGACAGAAAATTCGTTTTATACGAATTTTTACTTATCAAAATATTTAGTTACCAAATTTTTGTTTTGTAAGAATTTTTATTTCATATAGTCATTTAATTTACATGATTTTTTAATTTCAGGAAATTTTCATTTAATTGTGTTTTAATTTAACAGAATTCTCATTCAATCGAATTTTAAATAATTCGAATTTTTAAATGACAAAAATTCCAAATCACTGAATTTTTATTTGTACGAATTTTCATTTGTCCGAAATTACAAATGACCGAACAAACAATCGACAGAAAGATTTTGGCGGAATTTTCAAAAATTGAACAATTAGAAATTATCAAGAAAATCGTGATTGGTTAAATTTTTAAAACTGCGCATCGAAATCTTTCTGTCGATTGTTTGTTCGGTCATTTTTAATTTTAGACAAATGAAAATTCGACGTCTTAAAAATTCTATTCATTAAAAATTCAGACAAATAACAAATAACTAAAATAAAAATTCTGCCAAACAAAAATTCTATGGAATTTAATTTTAGAGCTTATTCGTGAGTTTCATTTTTTTTTTTTCAATGTTTGAAAATTTTTTATTGATTTTATTGATTTATTGATTGAAAATAAATTTATAAGTCACAAAGGACAAGTATTATTGGAATAGATAGTTGGTAAATAGTAAAAAAAAAGAACAAAAAAAATTAGTATACATAAGAAATGTTTAACATCAGTCAAATTATTTATTAGAGAAGCAGAAAAATTAGTGAAGCAAATATTATTATTAATATTAATATTAATTAAAAAATTAATAATTATATAAATAATATATTTTTATATAAAGATAAGTTTTTTAATTTTTTAATATTATAATATTTTAAAAAAAAATCTTTTACTTTTTAATAAAATAAACCACTAAATATTCTATTAATTCGATGAAAATTGTAAAATAATACAAAAACATTTTTAAACGTAAATTTCACAATTTATAATATATTGTAAACTATGAAGAAATTATTGAACACTTGGAATCGTAAAAAATATCTCAGAAATGATATTAATTGAAACGAAGTAATGTTTTTTCTATTAAATGTCGTTAAATTACCAATGAATCGTGATATTAATTCACATTGAATGCTAATTATTCTATTTCTATTTCCGTGCACTTAATGTTATAAAAATTTGTATCACATTCGCGAACCTTGAATTTAAAAAACTCATGACTGATTATTCAATCATAACAATTATTATTATTATTATTATTATTATTTTTTTTTTTTGTGTTTGAGTAATGGAAACAATTTATTAGTAAATAATTATTTAATTTTATTGACAATTAGTAAATTTTGCAATTGTTTCTTTAAATTTATTATTATTTAATAATTAATTAAAATAGAATTAATGTTGAAATAATTTTTATTCTAAAAAGAAGATTAGAAACAGAAAAAAGTCATCTAAATAAAAAAAAAAATTAATTGGATTTGATTCATTTTACAAAATTACTCAAGTTTTTGTGTATTAAAAGTCATTTAGGACAAATTAGACACTCGTTAATTGGAACAGTTACTAGAGACAATTGTTTTTAGTCTGGGGTTCAAATAATCGATCGTTTTATTGGATAAGTGCATTAATGTGTAGTAGTATGTGGGTAGAGGGTCCAAAAAAAACCATGGTTCGTTTAATCGTAATATTCTTTCTAAAAGTAAAAAAAAAAAGTGTCGACTAATAATTAGTCTGAATTAGGTACATTCTTCTGTTGAGAGTCTCTATTAAAGAATTTTAATTATTGTCGATTATAAAACAAAATAATAATTTTATTTATTTAATTATTTATTGTTTGTTTGTATATTTATTAATTAAAAAAAAAAATAAAATGTCAGAAATTAAAAAAGAAAAACGATAGCAGTTTAAATTTGAAAAAAACTTATTTCAAAAAAAGTTAATTTTAAAATCTGTAAAACTTAATTATTATCCAAAATTCTTTTGATTATTAAACTTAAAAGTGTACCCAAATTTTAAATTTGAATAAATTTCCTTAAATTAGAATTAAAAAAAATGTTAAAAATGGAACTTTAAGAATTTTTTTTTTTAGAAATTTGTCCTACTTAATTAAAATTTTGAAAATTTTTTTTTTGTTCGATTCTGAATTATTCGAAATAAATTTTTTTTGATAATATTCTTATTAAAGAATTAATAAAATGAATTTAGTATCTAATAAACATTAGTTATTTAAAGTAAAATATTTTTTAAACAATTAAATTTAATTAAAATAATAAAATCAATTTTTTTTTCTAAATCGACTTTTTTTGCGCGTTAAAGTTAATTCGATGCCTTATATGATGGACTTTTACTTGAATTACAATTTAATTAAAAAAGGTCAATTACATTTAAATAAAAGAGTCTATATTAAAATTTTGAAATTTTTTAAAAATATTTATTATAAAATTTACATTTAATATATTTTTTACATACAATGTTGTATATATCCTTAGTTTTAAAATTCACCTTTTAATCTATTGGCGTATATAATCGATATATTGATATATTTTGTTGAAAGTTTATTTAAAAAACTTTTTATTTAAAAAAATAAAAAGCACGACTTCTTGAAGTATTTGTTAAAAAATTAATTAAAAATTTTTTTTTACATCTAAACTATCAAAACGAGTTATTTAGGAAAAAATTATTCGACAATTTTAATTTTTAATTCAAAAATGTTATTTTTTTTTTTTTTTTAATGAAAATATAAATATTTTAAATAAATATATATATTAAATAAATAAATAAATATATTATTAAATTTATCGTATTTTTTAAAGATAAACTAGTTTTAAAGATTAAACTACACAAAAATAAACTTTTTGGAAAATATTACATAAATAAAAATGAATTTGATTGAAATAAAACAATCAGATTTAAATAAAAAAGAAATTGATGTTTTTTTTTAAAAAAATGATGATTTTTATCAGTCTTGTTATCCACGACACACATATATATACGAATATCTGTGTGTGTACCTACGCATAACTGTATCCCGCAGCCTCTTTAACAGGATAACTTTTCTTTTTTTATTTATCTTTCTCCTTTCTTTCACTTGTGTCACTTCTATCGTTTTCAACTGGTTCCATGGTGGGTCCTTTAACATTAAATGTGATCGCGTGCTCGTGTTTAAGTTACTCCGCAAAGACGATATGGGAAGCATCGAAATGAAATAAAGTGGGAAAAGAGGGCAGAACCGCCTACATGTTTGTGTGAATCACACACCACTCCCTAATGGAATAAACTCGATTTACTTCAATTCAATACGAAATTAAACGACTTATGCTCTCTTATCGTGTTCATAAACACACACACACACACATGATATACATTGATGATGATAATAATTAAATTTGCGTAATTTGTTGTTAAAAATCAATTATAACGCGTTGATTAATTCATAAACGAATCCATTATTTATTATAATCTCGTTTAATTAATTAGCACGTAAAAAAAATTGCTTTTATTTCTATTTTTCTTTATTGCACGTTATTATCATATTTATTTATAAAGTTTTATTTTTTGGAATGCATTAATAAGTTTTAAAAAAAAATTTGTTAGAATTTTCATTTAACAGATTTAGCGGAATTTACCTTTAACCGAATTTTTATTCGAATTATTATTTAATAATTATTTCATTCAATCGAATTTTTTATTTTGCTACTTAAGGCCATGTGGGCAATAGACGTTTTTTTGTGGATTCCAACTTTCTCTGAAATAAATAATGATTTCGGGTTAAAATATTCAAGACTTGATTTTGGAGGGTGCAAAGCATAGGGCTGTTCTCCTCATTTACGTAAAAGTAATAAAAATAAAGCAATAAATAGTAAAATAATGTATTTAATCATAGTTCATTCAGCGGCCACTCGCTCGAATTGGCGCTGTTTACTGGAGCACTGACACACTCAAGCAACGTCTGTGTATGCGCCGCCATCTTTTTTGTCATTTTCGTTTAAAAATGTCACTTTTTAAAATTAGTTTTTAAATAATTTAACGCAAAATTAAGTTTTTTCAGGAGAACAGCGCGGTGCATTGTACCCAAATCTATCAACCCTCAAAATTTTAGCCTAAAATCTTTTTTCATTTTAGAGAAAGTTGGAATATTGCAAAACACATTTTCCCATACTAGGTCACGTGGGTTTCTCCCACATGCCGTTAAATGAATTTTCATTTTACTGATTTTTTATTTCATCGAATTTGAATTTGACAGAATTATTATTTACTCCAATTTTCATTAATAGTCGCATTTAAAAGAATTTTTAATTTACAGAAAGAATATTACAAAAATATTCTTTTTCAGAAGAATTTTCGCATTTGTTCGAATTTACAATTTACAATTGTCAGACAATTTTAAAATTAGTGAAATGTTATATCAATGAAATTATGATTAGTCAATTTTCGAATTTTGCGACAAAATTTTTCTGCCAGATATTTATTCAGATAAATGAAAATTCAGTAAAATAAAAATTCGACGTTTTAAGAATTCTGTAAATTGAAAATTCAAAAAAATGAAAATTATTATAGGAAATAATAATTCTTTGTAATATATTCTCTTTGTAAAATAAAAATTCTTTTCTATAATTATTCTGTTTAATTGGGCTCCCAAATTTTTGTAAGGCTAAATTTTTTTTTCAAATTTTTAATTGCAATGATGTCTCGCACTCACTTCAATAATTTATTTGAAAATAAATAAACAAGAACATCA